TTGCGTGTGTGCGTGTGTCTGTGTGTGTGTCCTATAAGACTGTGACCTTACCTGCAATGGACACAGAAGGGGAGGGTGTGGTGGAGTCAGGACTGGAGGAGAGTGTGCGGGAGGGAGTTGTGGATGGCGCCTGAGTGGAGGCGGCGGTCGTGCTGGCTGTAGTGTTACTGCTGCTTGAGCTGGCAGCTGAAGTGGCCCCAACACTTTGACCCGGACCACCAGACCCCGCTACAAGAAGGGGGTTGAGTTCAGACTGCTGGATGATCTTCACGCCATCCGGTTTACTCCACGAGGACTCTCTGGTCCTGGCGTTGTAGTAATATGCCTTTGGAAGGAATAGTGGACAAGTTTTTTTTTAGGTCATGAAATGAAACGACTTGATGCATTACAAAAAAATGCAAAATTTTCACTGCTCGACTGCGTACAAAGGTTTGAGTGTAAATATGATTTAAAAGATGTATGCAAGTTCACCGTACAAAAAGCTAAAAAGGAGATTAAAAGATATATCTCTGGAACATTGTTGAAGAAGTCCTATTTTAGGATTACAAGTGCAAATGAAATGTGAAATGTCATATTTATTTTCTCTCTTCTTCTTCTGCTGCTGCTGCTTCTTTTATATCAAAATTAACGTAGGTAACTTAGCATTATACAGTTTTAGTCACATTACTTTGTATGTATGCTGCACACATTGTACTGTATGTAATGACTGAATAAAACCACAAACTACATTTTTTTTAGAATAAACAGTAACTTATGGCAGACCAATATTTCTAGATCCATTTCAAAGTTCTTAATAAGTTACATGATTTATAGCAAGACAGTGACTCCTTCAAGCAGTGTGCATTTCAAAACCTGCAAAGCTGTGAATGCAATCATGGCATTCGTACAATTAAGTCAGCTGTGTATCAATATAAATACTTCACTGTTAGTATTACAGAGGGGTTATTGTTGATGAGGAACGTTATGTAAGTCTCTGAAGTGTCAAATCTACTTAAAAAAAACAAACATTAAACATCATTCTTTAATTTTTTCATGCTTGTTCTATACGCTCAAACCAGTCTCGAGCTTACCTTTCCCTCTGGCGTCTTGTTCTCTACCCAGATCTCTTCTGCAGGATTGAGTGCAGGGGCCCCAGATGCAGGAACAGGAGGCATCCCAGGAGGAAACAACATGCCTGGAGGAGGTGGCAGGTTCCCCATGGGAGGGGGTAGGAACGGAGGTCTCTGCGGCAAAAGATAAATACACAGTATTACATTTTCAGACTTTAAAGAGGGGCTAGGAATATACATTATCCTATTAAGAGTCCTTCTGGTGTCTGGAATGGGGAGCAGTCAACTATTTAGCCAGCAGGCCAATTAAAAGGTTCAAAGTGATCAAATTGAATCAGTGAAGAGAGAATAACAGTCAAACCGATTATGAATGGGTTTCATTGATAGTCCTCATTGTTTCCGTCTTGTGCTAAATCTTTCTTTGTGGTAAATTTCATTTGCCAAATGACATCACTCGCAAATAATTGCAATTCAAGATATTAACACAACAATCATCACAATATGCATTTTAATCAACGAAGAGAGGAAATACCTTTTTTAGTCAACATCTGTTTTTGTGGACAACATTTTTAGTAACTATCTTAAATTGTATGATACTTAATAATCATGGATGACTTCTTCCTTAACATATTCATGTTAGTCTTTGTATCCCTCTCTATTATTAATGGTGTTTGGAATATGGGAATATGCCCTACAATTCTGCAAAGATGAACATGCATGTTGTACAATAATGGTACCAGTCACCTGTAGATGGGGGGGTCCAATGGGTGGAGGCATACCTCCTGGGGGAGGAATGGGCGGCATGTTGGGGTCAAAGGGAGGACGTGCAAATGGGGGCCGCGGCGGGGGTCCTCTCATCATCCCAAAAGGAGGCGGGGGTGGCCTAAGGAGTGGTGGTGGGCCTCGTAACACTGGGGTCTGGGCAGGCGCAGGTGCAGGCGCAGGGCCGCGGAACCGTACTGCCTGCTGCACCATTCTACAACACAAAACAATGTTAAGTTACACCCAGTGATGTGGAGTAGCTATAAGTAAAACACTGTAGTATGAGCACTGTGATCTGTATTTAAAGTTATTGCAGAGATGTAACGTTAATGCATGAAAGTACTTCACAGCTTTCAGGATCACTTCTGCTTGTTATAGCATTACCGAGGACCACCTTTACAAATAAGTAAGAACCATGGTTTTGGTAAGGCATGCTCGGTTGATTTACATCAACTAATAAGCTAAATACATTATTTCATTGAAGACAGAATTACACAGACGTGAATGATTTATGGAGCATTTGAATGTAACGTTAGCAACGTTAATGTGCGTTGTGTAGCTAGAAGGCGTTTATTATTCTACGTGTTATTTCAGGTGATATCCTGTTGGTGATGGTAACGTTACACGTGTACACCCCGAGACAAATCAAACACTCGGGATTCTGTAACATAGTTTATTACTCTTTAGACTAACGTTATCAGACAGAGAATCCAAAACAATGAATGGACGTAGTTGTGAGCCCACTACTGATTAATGTAGCATAGCTAAGCTAGCTGATTATTTTAACGTTACATTAAAATGCAAGCACAGACCGCACAATACAGATAGGAGGTTTTTCTGAACACAAACTAATGGCCCGGTGAAGAATAAACACTTGTGAAAGAGGAAACATATGGCCATGTTTAATCTACCTGCCTGTGTTTGCCGCGTGCCACGAGCGGAGAGCGGAGACGAGCCGCTTGGCAACACAGGCTAGTAAGCTAGCGGCTAGCAGTTAGCGGCTATTTAGCTAGCATAGCTACATCCAGAAGTAAGACCACTGTTTATCTGAACCTCTCGACCGAGACCAATGCTACCCAACTCCGAATAGATTCTGGGAATGTGCTTAATAGCACACAGAGTTCTTAGTCACGTAAACACATTATATGCTATTATCTGACCTGTTGTCGTTGAACCCGATGGTCTCGCTTTCTGTCTGCTCCGCCATTACAGGAAAATGTAACCCCTCTCTTCCTGGAAACGCCCCTAAGGGGTTTCTGCTGTTTGTATTCGAAGAGCACGGATGTCATTCATAGCACAGGCCGAGTTATGTGAGCTCTGATTGGCTAGTGCTTCTTTCACAGTGGCTTGGCGAGTCAATCAATGGGTGTTGTTCTTCATCAATATTTATTTCAGTCAATGTACTGTGATATTGACACTTTAATATCTACCACTAACGTTAGCTATTACCACTGCTCTCTCTGTTTAGTGTGTTGTTTTAGTGTTTTGTATGCTGTTGGTATTTTGTGAGTATAATACAGTGAACAGTAGTGGGAAAAAGTCCTATACTGAAAGCAACAATCTATCACAGTGGAAAACTTTGTTTTTGGACGTCCTACATTTAAAGTAAAAATCCATAACAAAATGAGTGTAATGTTATTGTTTGAAGTCGAATAGTGCGTTAGACATATTACTCATGTAAAGTGTCAGTGCACAATATAGATTTTCTACTGAAGATAGTTTATACATCTGTATTACAAATCTGTAATATCTCATTGTCTGTCTTTGGACCCTAGTGCCACATTAGGAAAACCTTCCCTCAAGGACCACTACGTTTTTTTTCTGAAACAATTTAGTTGCTGTGTTCATATTAGGTTGTGTACAATACAAATTATTAAAATCCAAACAGAGACAAAACATTTATTTGTGTTGCAACATTTAGAATAAAAAATCTGACTCGGACAGGAGATCACTCCAACATTATCACCACAGATACACTCTACTTTGATAAAGGCCGAATGCGGCGGCCTGGTGCCAATACATTGCTGCTCATGACTCTGATGCCTTCTCGTCCCTGGCAACAACCGAGTGAGATGCTAGTTCGTCGCTTCCTCCATTGAGCTGCTGGCATTTGGGTATTCATTAAAAAAATGGTATAAAATTATAAATTATGTTGAGGACAGTTTGGACATGACCCTAACTCCACTTCGGCCACCCACTTCCGCAAATAGTTGGTTGAGGAGGGTTGATATAGCGACCTTTCATCTTCAAATTCAGGACTTTCTCCAGATGAGGCCATGCAGTTTGACAGACCCATCAGCGGTCAAGTCGAGGGAAATCTGACCTGGAAGTCCGGTTTGATGTCAGAAAAAATAAGGTTATCATTCAGTATCAAATCTGTTAAATACTGAGCAGCATTTATTTAATAATATATAGAGGTCTACTTTTATTTTATTAAACCTCATCTCCATTAATTTATTTGAGCATTTTCAATCCGGTTTGCGCTCAGCACTGCACTGAAACAGTCCTCCTTAACAACCTACTCCACCTAAACCTCACTGCAGCTTTCGGGCGCATCAACCACAGCATTCTTCCCCAACTCCCCGTCCCTGCCAGCGAGGACCAAGCACCGGACACGGGGCAACAGAGCTTTCTCCACAGCTGCCCCCCTCCCTCTTGCAATGATCTTTTCATGTCAAATCAGAAATCAAAACAAACCTCTTCAAAAATGTCTAAATAAAGCTCTGTGTTTTAAGTTTTTAGTGTGTAGCTTGTAGTGATGAATTGAACTATCATTAAAAAGTATTTGAGTCGAAAATCACTATGAATATAAGGTATCATTATTATATAATATTTAATACTCTGTTATACTGCTGCAGTATACTATTGGGAGTAATATGTTGCACTGTATATTTGTATATAGTACTGTATACCTCATTCTATGCTATTTAATACTAAATGATGTTTATGTAGTATCTTACCATATCATGCCAATATAACACATCACAGTGTTTTATCCTGCTGTGTAGAGCTGAGACGATGCTATGAATCATTCCACATCACTTTACCTCTTTAATTGGTCTTGTAGATCATCCTTGTTTCTATTTATTTTGTCATTTTTTTCTATGTACGTTTTATTTCCCCATCATGATTGTGTAGTTTCATTTTTAAAAGCCCTGTATGCACTACCAAGGATACAACTCCGGTGAATACATTTTGTTAATTTATTACTTGGTTCGAAGGTTGTCCAAACTACATTTTATGAAGTTTAAAAAGTACTGGAATCAGCCCCAGTGTGTAATACAAAAAAAGAGATATTATATTCAATTGTATGATTTAATTTAATTTCAAATTAAGTACAGAAAATACAAATCAAGTTAAACTTTACTGGAAAAAACATGATTCCCGTCAACTAAATTATGTTATCTCTAGCTCCCATATGAACAGAAACAAAATAAGTAAACTAATAAAATATCAAACTAATGAACTAACTATGAAACCATTGCTCTGAGAGTAACAAAATAAAGATTTGGTCATGTGCAGTGCCTCAGAAACAGCGGAGCTGTGTTTGCACATCAAACTGGAAAACTGTAGCCATACGCAAAGTCCCGCACTCATTTATTCTTTTCTCACGCACACAGTTCGCCCGAGACTCCGATCACCTTTTAGTCTCACCTAGCCTTAGAAATATTTTATTAAAATTCAGCGAACGAAAAAGTGTGATTCATGGGAATATTTAGTACAGTATCTGTATGAAAAAGTACAATAAACAAAAGAGATCTATGTGTGTGAGTCAGAAAACAATGCTCGAATAAAGTCCTGTACATCTTGTACATCGAGATACTGTGAACTCTTTAGGGCCTGATAAAAAGAATAGAGGGGAGGAAAAAGATGTAGAATGCAGAAACAAGCAGCATCTTGCAACTCTTATTCGCACAAGTGTCCGAAAGGAAAACAGTCACCATCTGTCAATAATGCAATTGCTTAAATTTTACGATCGAGTTTGGTTGAAATAATAAAAATAAATCTAAGGCTAAAATAATTAAGCAGCAATGCCATTTTTATTGTTGTAGTCAATGCTACGGTTTAATACTCTGTACTTGTAAAGAATAGAAACTTTTGAAGTGTTGCTTTTGTAATGAAGGAGGACATACGGTCATTCACATATATAAACCGATGAGGAGGAGGAGCAGGAAAGTAATGACCTGCGGCTGTAGGTTGAAATCCCCCTCCGATCATGTCGACAGACTGGGATGGGGAAGGACTACTGGTGCCAGCTCTCCAAAGGAGGGAGAAACATGCACGGTTGTCTTCAGGTAGGCTGCAGCAATTCTCTGGCTCCCACTCTGCGAAGGTCAGACATGCATACTCGCACTCATACACATTTGCAGTCCATCATTTCCCAAAGCTGCCAAAGTTGGCGAAGGAATCCTGTTTGGGTGGAACCACGGCTGGGGGGATGGAGTGCGCAAGGCCCGGCCCAGCCCCTGGCACTCCCATGCCAGCCATACCACCCATCATCACTGGAGTGGCCATGCCCATATTCATGCTCATGTTCATTCCCACCATGCCGTGGTTTACAGGAATTCCCCCCATCCCCATGGTCCCCGTGGTCATTGAAAGGGGCATACTCGATGCCAAGGAAGCGGGAAGGCCCATCGTCATTGCGCTGCTTGCCATCATGGGATTGGCTGGTGGTCTGTTGGGTGTAACGTGGGGCGGGGAGCTGAGGTTCAGTCCCCCGAAGCTCTGGGGCAACAAGTTAACCGGCGGCACTCCTGCACGGACATATATGGACGGGGAAGGAGTTAATCCACTTCAGTTCAGATAGTTACATCGACCATTCAAATCAAAACGATGTGCGTTTTAAATGTTTACTACGTGATTGGAATTTCCCAAAACGGTATAATAATGAAATACCTTGTTGCTGGATGATATTGTTGAGTGTGGGCGGTGTCTTGGTGGGGTTGAGGCCTGCTGATAGGAAGTCCAGACTGATGTTGACCGAGGGGTCGGACCAGGTGGAGCCTAATGATCCTGGACATCCAACACCGACCTTCTGCTGTTGTCCTATGGGCTCCTGGGAGGTAATGCCTCCCAAGCTCTAAAATACAAATACAAATATTTTACACAAAGAATACAGTTTTCCCTGACATAAAGACGAAAAGAAACATACTGCCAATAAAGACAAAGAAAAGAAAAGAAACCAACAGCCTCAAATTTCCACCTAACCTTTTGAATTTATTGAAAATTTAAATATAAAGGATTCTTTCAGGGTGCACTGACTGAATGTTTGTCATAATCTATCCACATTTTCTTTACATCCAGGTCCCCCCCCCCCCCCCGGTGAAATCTATCGGACCTACCTGTTGAGAGCGAGAAAGGGGCATGGTTGGCATTGCAACAGCTGGCGTTGCACCTCCCAGAGAGAAAGTCATGCTTTGAGAGGCACTCAGGGTGGTATGTGGACTGGTTAGTTGATGGTTCACTCCGCCCATCAGGTCAAATAGCTCCGTAGAAGGAGGGGCGGCATTAGAAGCCGGGGTCGTGGTTGACCGGACGCTGCCGAACAGGTCCGTCACAGGATGGGACCGGCCAGAGCAGGACGAAATGGGTGTGTTGGCCGCGAAAGCATTCCAATCCCCGAATTCTCCATTTCCATTGGATGTTGCTACGGCTGGCCATGAGAGAGTTGTTTAGATATGTGATATATATAAACAGCTCCATTCCTTCACTGTGCACTAAATGTACAAAATACAGTGCATATTCTACAAATCCAAACCAAGAACATCCAAATCCATTAAAAGTATGTACTAGCTTACCAGTGGAAGTTGGAAGGCTAGCAGAGGCTGCAGGAGAGGAGAAGTCAGCAAAGCCACCAATGAGGTCTGAACTGCCACCTGTATGGAGGGAGACACATGTACTTATTCCTGTATGGATTTTTCAACAAAAAAAAAAAAAATTGTTTGGCCTTCATTTCTTTCACATCTTTGCGAGTGTCAAAGTGTGGGAGTGTGGGACTACCTGTTGCAGTGCTCTGATTGGATAAAGGGTCGATCACTAGCAGGTCGGCTAGGCCGCCACTGGAAGACTGCCTGACTGACGACTACAGATAGAAATAAAGAGAATGTGATTAAACATGAACTCTTGAATTCTGATCTGACAATGGGAAGTGTCTGTGCGAGCACCTTCTCCTCGGGGCTCTTGTCTCCAGTGTAGTGGGCTGCAGCACCGAGGTCCAAAGCCTTGCTGCCCGCCGCTCCGCTGCGTTTCCGCGTGGTGGTGGTGGTGGTTTCTGTTGCTTGTGTGATTTGGATGCTCTTTGTGGTGACGGTTTCCTCCTCATCTTTAAACTCGAGGGTTTCCTGCCTGCCGTTTCTCGACGCTCGGTCCTCCTCGTTGTCACTATGGCAAAGCGAGAGCAAGACGGCGTGAGGAAAAAAGCATCTATTTGATCTTAATTTAATCTGTATAATGTCGCATGTAGAACTGTGCAGGGGGACATTGTGTATATACCTGATTCTGTCGGGCGAGTCGTCTCTTTCCTTCTTTCTGAACTTGTTGAGTGTGTCGTCGATGGTGCTGCCTATCTTGTCACTGATCTCGCCGAGCTTCTCACTAAAGGGGAAAGCTCCTTTGCTCTTATCCCAGTCCTCGTCCCACTTACTTTGATCCAACTCATTTGCTGGGAGGAAGAACACAGAAAACAGCAGAGAGAGAGAAATCTTTTAAATAGCATCCTCACACAATAAACAACACATGTTTTGATGCTGTTCAGTGTGACGTATTTGAACAATTTGGGGGGGATCTGGTGATGAAATGAGATTTTTTTAGACATGTATAAACTTAGTGATTAATCAACTAATTAATAAACAATATGACAAATTCCTTGTTGTCGCCGGAAAATGTAGTTTGATTCAAAAAATCTTGCGCTTGCTTTACATGTTATGAACATGCGTGTGGATAGGGGTCGATTATTAGGGTTTGAATCCCCCATCTGACTTTAATCAGTGGATATAGTGAATTACTTACAGGTTTTGTTGCCTCCTCCTCCTTCTCCTCCTCCTCCCATTCCTCCGCCTCCTCCACCCATACTGTCAGAGGAGACTCCAATGTATTTATCTTTGTTCTTCTTGGCTTTCTTCCTCTCATCTCTCAGTCTGTCATCGTCCTGGATGAACTCCACCATCTCCTTCACCTTCTGACGCACATTGATGCCCTGATCCTTACCATTCTCATCTGGACAGACGCGTACGTACACAGACAAGTAAAATGATTGTTGAAGATAGTAACTTTGATGAAAACACGACCGTGTAAAAAATTAATAATTGTCTTTGCAATACTGATCAAAATCAGATGGAGAGATTGAAGATTTTCTGCAGCCGATCTCCAGAGAGAATGAACCCATTCTATTTTGGACACTCAGCGAACTTTGTGATAAGGTCTAATTTGCACAAAAAATAAGAAAATGTTTTCTATTGAGACTCACCAATGAAGTGGTAGTTTTCTAGAGATCGCAGGTCGTAGATATGTTCTCTAGCACTGGTGACGACTCTTTCAGACCCATTCCTGATCAGATGGGCCAGCAGCAGTAAAGCCTGCAAGAGGGGGATGGAGAGAGATAGTGAGACGTGATAAGAGGTTATGCAAGAGTTATAACTAGAACCGATTAGTGAATAATAAAATATAGAAATAATTCAAAGTCAGTTGCTTTACTAAACTGTCCCAACTCTTAGATTCATCTTAATTGTGCTAAAGAAAATCAAAATCTAATTTATTCTTCCAGGGATCTTGCATAATTGATCAGCTCTGCGTGTGTCTTTAGAGTATGTGGGCAGGGTTCAAGAATGTAGTTCAAATGCACCAATTACTGAATCAAAGTAAACAGTGTTGGTTTAGTAAAGTCTTGTAAACACTAGAACCCGTGACGGTGTCTGACTGAAGAAATGAAGAAACCCTGACACTCCGCTCTCCTGAATCCTGATAAAACCATACAGAACTGCGCTGCACAGTACAGCCGGACACATATACAACACACACACACACACACACACACACACATTATTACATTACATTACATGTCATTTAGCTGACGCTTTTATCCAAAGCAATGTACAATAAGTGCATTCAACCATAGGGTACAAACTCAGGAGAACGAGAAACAAGAAAGTGCAATTTCCTCAAATAAGCCAATTTACAATTTGCTATAGATGAGTGACGTTACAAGTACAATTTAAGTGCTACAATTTGTTAGTCTTTAGTCGAGGTAGAGTCTGAAGAGGTGTGTCTTTAGTCGTCACATCTGGATCAAGTTTGACCATACCTTGTACACTCGTCTCCAGTTTTTCTTGTTGTCCTTAAGCATCCTGGTCCACAGCATGTTCATCACCTCCGGGAACTGCTCATACATAAAGGTAGATCTACACACACACACACACACACACACACACACACACACACACACACACACACACACACAGAAAATGTATGGTTGTAGTTGGTAAATCCATGTAGTAATCCATGTTGTAATCCAACATATAATTAAATCTAGTGACCGTTGGTCTTACTTCTTCTGAACAGAATCATTTTTTCTTCGAAATAAAACACTTTGGGTGAAGGCGTGTCTAATAACACAACCAAGATTACGTGCCGCCTTACTGATAACGTGCGTATTACACATACTTGGCTATTTCTCCCATTAGTTGACCGGAGGGTCCCCAGGGGTCGTCATTGGTGGCCTCTCTCACCTTGGATTCAATCTCTGAGTAGTTCATCACCACATTGGTGCTGTTGACACAAACATATCATTCTGTCATGATTACTCCAATAAAATATCTGCGTCGCCATCAATATTTCCATTGTATATAAGGCAAAGTCATTGTGTTTACATATTGTGAACACAGGATGAGGACAATCCCTGTGGGGCTAGCAGAGCTTCATTATCATGTCTAATGGTTCCGTTCTACATGGAAACACGGATGTCTGCCTCATGCTACATGTGGCAGCACCTCACCTCGCTCTACAGCAGACAATAACTGTAGACAACAGGATTATCATAATAAACAGCTACATTTATGCACGGGCCACAATACTCAGTGAAATCCAGGAAGTCACTGAAATGTGAAAGACCACTTTCTAAAAGCCTGTGTCTACACTAGTGAACGTCTCTCCACACACACACACACACACACACACACACACACACACACACACACACACACACACACACACACACACACACACACACACACAGTGTAAAAAGGAAATATTCACATGTTCAGGACACAAAGGGAGATGAGTCAATGTGTACATGAGAGCAGATGAGCAGACGGTGCATATCCATCTGTGTGTCTTTGTGTGTGTGTGTGTGTGTGAGACAAACAGCAAGGTACACACTGCAATCACCAGACTAGTCGCTCTCCTGCACTCTCTTTGTTTTTGTGGGCTTACAAGCTGCTGTCCCTTCTCCTTTGTGCTCTACAGGCTCCCGGTAAAAAACACAGCCGACGGACGCATCTATTACTTCTGAAACTTGTCATTCCTTTCTCTATCTTAAGCAGTCATTCTTTTCGCTTGATTTTCTGCTCCTCGCGTCTGCCAATCTCCCGTTTCTATCATGCCACTTTCATTCCACAGCAGGCTTTCCTCTCTGTCTGCTCCAAGCTCTGCCACCCATCCAGCGAAAGGAAGATAGGAGGCCCGGTCAGCACAGGAGCTGCCGCCGACTTATTGTTATCGTCAACAGATGAGACTGACACAGACAGCGAGAGCACCACAATAGCACGACTTAATCTGCAGGAAAAGCAGCTTTGTTGAGGTGGATCAATAATAGAGGGTATTCATCATGCCCAGCCAGGCACAACCACCAGCTGATGGGAGCTGAGCTCTTATTACTCCAGTGAAAAGCTCTCTCTATTTCTTGCTACAGTACACTCACCCGTCTCATCTCCTTTCTTCAGACTGTTCACTCATCTTTCCTTGATGAAACTGTCTCCTATCTACTTACTTGTTCTTCCTTATGACATTTGCAATACAATTGATCCTCTAAAGAGCCAAGCTCATGGGAGACTGTAGAGAATGTAGGGTCTCAAACAGACAAACGTATGTTAATGTGGCAAATAAAGATGATACAAAAAATAAAATACAGATTTCAGACAAAATGATTGTTCATCTGTATTCCCAAAAATTTAAAAATGTATTTGAAATACTGGACCCTCCTTATTGTTGGGTGATTTGTTTGCACACAGTACGCATTGAATAGCAGCCTGCATTTGGTCACACAATTATTATTTAAATTTAAGTGCAAAGGAATAACCAAAAGAAAACTTAAGTTTGAATTATATCCCTCATATATAAAAACACATGAAAAGATCAGGATAATGGAAAAAGATAGGGACTTATTAAAAGAGCGCAACACTGTACAAAGTGGTTAGAAGTATCTAAAAGGTTCACGTGTGGCAGAAGATGCACCATTAACAGACTGACTGTAAGGGCATAGTTATTTTAAGCTTGTCCTTTAATCAGTCAACATAATGACTTATGTGTATGTATAGTAAGTATATTTGTGACATTGGTTTGAATTGTATAATACTTATGCTTTAAATTTGGTCCAATCTATTAAATTGATTGATTGAGAAGAGCAAAAAAAAAGGCAGTCAACGTCTTCATATTTGTACATATACTCAATTTAAATTAAATTCATTTTGTACAGCCCCAAATCAAAATACACAACTGGCATAGTTTAGCGCTCAGATAAACAACATCCGCCCGATCAACAACGTTTTGAAGACACGTTTAGCCAAAGCAGCTTTGTTGCCTCAGCTGTTCAGGGACTGTGTGCTTCGTTATGACATGCGGTCATAACGACATGAGACTCACTATACACAGACAATCATCTTGCCTCTTAGCTTCTCATTGTTATTGTTTAACTTTCTACTCTGGATATAATGTCAGGTGAATAAACGGCTGAGGTAGCGGGCATCGCCATGGGGACACAGGGCGTGTTCTGCAGCAGCACCGGGAGGAACAGTACACACAGATGCTAGCAGAATTAGCTGACTGAATAGCACTCGTTGTGGATCAGGAACAGATGAACCAGCGGTTTATAATATTGTCTTTTTCCTGCCCTGCCTACACAAGTGTCGGAAATGTACGACGGGGGCCGCCACCATGAAGCACACATCTCTATTTGTGCCACAAGGTTGATAACTGGCAACCAAACAGCTAGTCGGAGCTAACAGCTGAGGGGCTACAACCGTGACGTCACGGCCTGTATCCGTTGCTGATGCTGCCCGGCTAAAGCCGCCTAGCTAGCTAACGTTTTCGTGTTAGCATAGCAACCACTTAACGGTCTCGCGAGTGCAAAAAGCTCCACCTGCTCCCCGGTACTCACGCTTTGTCCACCAGCTCTCTGACTTTCCACATATTCAGCATCTCCGCACAGAACTGCGGGCTTGCCGCCTCGATACCGCGTCGTTACCGACGACAATCCCCCCCTCTTCTCTGTTAGCACCAGTGGTACAGCGGCCGCTGCGGTTAACGGATCGCCCCCCCCCTCAGTTGCTACGGAAACGTCGTTCTCTCTGTCTACGTCACGGGAGCGTCACGATGCGCCCTATTTCACAGACTGTATCATAAGTATCATAATGCGTATTCACTCAAAGCTGATGGCCAATTAAATAGTAGCATCTTTGTCGATTTCTCTTTGAATGTGCCTTGCTCAAGGACACTGCAGCACGCTGGATATTTAGGTCAACGGGTTTTCTATTATTGTGTCACACCTCTGGCCTGAACACCATACATTGTAAGGTCACTCTGTCTAAATGTAGTATTCTCTTGCCTTTTAAACCCCACAAAGTGAAACTTCATAATCCTAAAATGTTAACCTATTTCCCCCTCAATGTTATCCGGGCAGGTAAATACATTTGCCGTCAAATTTGACGAATAACTGCAAATATCAATAAGAAATAGGTTGATTATGAAAGCGTTATTTACATGAGATAAATGTGTATTCAGTATGTGTCAGTATATAAAATAACCCAATGTCGTAGGTGAAACGAGTATAGGCGAAAACAAATAAGAATGAAATAAGGAAAAGGAGTTAAATGAAAGGAAAAGAAGGAATACAGATGGAAAACAGCGCCCTCCCGTGAATAAAGTTATGTACTGAATCAAAGTCCGCCTACAAACCTTGCAGATCTCGAGAAAATTGGAAATATCATTCAATTGGTATAATTTCTTTTCTTTCTGTCATGAATCTGTATTTTTTACTGAAGGGATCGTGCTGGAAAATATTGTATCATTATGTATTATGTTGGTTGTACGGTGGCCATGTACAATATCTAAATCAGGGATTATAGGGCTTTGAACTGATTAATTGGGAAGTGATGGATTTAAATTCATCCCGATGGTCCATGTGGACAGATTATTTGGTTCAAATGCAAAATGTAAGTAATGTAAGTCTGATGATAGTTTATCACCACAAACACATGATTTACAGTGAAATAGATCCCTGTTTTGGTTTTGAATTGAATAATTGTTTCCTTGGTGCTCATTAAAGGTAATCACAAAATGTACACATATTCACAAGGTTATTAAATGAAGAAGGTGATAAACGTGACCCACGTCTAGCCCGATTTTCATTGAAAGTGTGTGGCGTGTGCCCAGAGGAAGGTTATACACATTATTTTGTGAAAAGTAAGAAGCAACATAAGTAGACACCTGCATCGCTGAAGGTTGGCTAAGATAGATAACGGAAGACATAAGAAAACAACTACAGGAGCAGGAGAAGTTAAGTGATCTTTTTCAGAACTGAAGAAAATTGGCAAGGCAAGTGAACATGCAAAATACTAGCTTTTAGAAATTGCAGAATAGTCAAGTTTCTAAAACTTCTTGTGGAATCTTAGTTTGCTCCAAATGTCAATAGGGATTTCTTTCCTCATGATTATTCTTCAGGGTCTTCGGCATCTCACCAGTTAATACTAGCAGTCAGAGTGTGTTCTTGGCTCATCCTCTGAGTCAACCACAGCTTGTATAATTGATATGTTGGCTCGGTTATTTAGGTCCCCAATCTGGTCGAGAATAACGAAACAGAATAAAGATGTGTCAGAGTGGTCATCTCCAGGAGAACGTCATTGTCTGCATCTTTGTTTGACCATTTTCTTTCTTTCATTCTCTCTTTGTGGCTGTGTCCTTGATCCTACTGAAGGTTTGGAGATATTTTTTCTATTTCTATTCTATTGAAACTGTAGTTAACTGTGATTTATTTGATATATATTTATGCCTCAAATCATGTTAAACAATTTTACTTTTAAATACAAAGTGATACAGTGAACCTTTTAGATATGTTAAAGATGGAGCAACTCATTCAGTCATTCAGAGAAGAAGGTTAAGTCTTCTCCTGACTTAAACGTCACCGACTCAAAAACCTTTCCAACGTTTCATTTTTCTGTCTTTGTTTTATGACGGGCACCCTCTGTCTCTGGTTAAAGTCATCCATGAGCGATAACCAGGTTGCCATGGTGATCCTCCTGCAGCATAGCAACAACCTCAGCACCGGGCTCAGCTCCTTGTCGGATCCCGCGCTGGGCCGGGCTGGTCACACCGCGGCGGCCGTGGTCCTCGGACTCATCCTGGTCCTGGGCTTCCTCGGTAACTTCCTTGTGCTCATGGTGTTCTCGCGCTTCCCCGGTCTGGTGACTCCGGTGAACGTGCTGCTGATCAATATCAGCGCGAGCGACATGCTCGTCTGCATCCTCGGGACCCCCCTTAGCTTCGCGGCCAGCGTGGGCGGCAGGTGGCTGACCGGGTCTTACGGGTGCCGGTGGTACGGATTCTCCAACGCGTTTTTTGGTGAGTTATTGAGGATGTTTCCAACCTCACGATGCGACATCTCCAAAAGTAAAAGCCTATACAGCATTTGCAATGACCTTTCAAGTATTCAGTGCATCACCTTGATGCTGCAGCTGGTAAATTAAATCCTCACGCTTGAATTGACTCAATGAGGTTCTAACATAATAAAATGTGGTGGAGTATAATATTTATATATGAAATCAATCAATCAAACTATTTCAGACTCAGATTCTAAAAATAAAAAACACACAGAACAAAGTGACTTGCAAAGAGACTGATAATGTCTGCAGAGGTGGGACTGGTCATAAGCCTTATGTTTGTCAACTTTAAATCAAAATGATTTAATCCGTTAGAATCATTAAACTTAAGCCGGCAAATCAAGCGAAGATCTCTTAAGACAGTTTTGAAATATATCTCTGGCACTTCTCCCTCTGTTTTTAACAAAATAATATTTTCATTGCAGCCTTTTTAAGTCTCTGAACTTTTGTTTTGTAGATAAGAAGTATCTGAAGAGGTATGGCAGAAATCTAATTTCTTAAGCTGAAAATTTGAGTGAATGTACATTTTTGTATACTTTGAAGAAAAAATGACAAAGCTTACATGTATGTACGGTATTTGCATTTTTTGGAAATATAGCCTGCATGTGAATTATGCAACATGTCCATATAGGATAAAACTGAGATTACTCATAATTTTGTGAAATTAGACACCATTTAGTTATGCTAATAATGACAGCAGTATGAGTTTGATTACAGACATATGTCTGTAATCAAAATCAATGTTTTTGGATGTTATACATTAAACTGTAGTTTAAAACCTGGATGTGTGTAAACTTGGTAACTAATACAACTAATACACAGAGATGATTGGCTCGGTTTGATTTCTTACTGATCTTCACAGAATGAATGAGTGTCTCTCTCTCTGTCAGGTATAGTATCTCTGGTGTCTCTCTCTCTGCTGTCCTTGGAGCGGTACTCTGCTGTGCTTGGCAGAACCCACTCAAACTCGGACTCCTCTCAGTACCGCCGGGCCTGGCTGGCTGTAGCGGCTTCCTGGCTCTACTCTCTGGTCTGGACTCTTCCGCCGCTGCTGGGCTGGAGCAGGTCTGTACTCATTATTTCACTCAATATTCGATCACTCATTGTCTTGATTAAGCAGATGATCCAACATCTCAGAGGAAAGTGCCTTAAAAGAAATTCGCAGAGCCACAAGTTTTGGAGATCTGTAAATGTTGTGCAAAATTTCACAATGTGACTTACTGAGATCAAATGTTATTTGTTTTATGGGTCAAATGATAATCTGTAATGCCCCTAAACAAGAGCATAAAACGTTTGTTTGTTCATTTGAAAAATCATATGTTACATGAATAAAATTGACATAAAAATTAAGAAACAACCTATTATAATTTTTGAGGTTAACTGTGTTACCGAGAAATTTAGTCTGAAAAAAATCTACTTTCCTTTTTCAAGACCCATCTCACACATACAAGTAACATGATTAGACATTAGTCCATTCCATTTTTTCGCTTAAAAATGGAGAAACAATAAACATATGCTAACCCAGAAATCGATAAAGCACATGAAATCAGAGCATTTGTTGTGTGTTATGGAGCAGCTATGGGCCGGAGGGTCCCGGCACCATCTGCTCCGTTCAGTGGCACAAGCGCTCCACCGCAGCGCGCTCCTACATCGGCTGTTTGTTTGTCTTCTGCCTGCTGCTGCCGCTCTTGCTCATGCTCTTCTGCTATGGGAGGATCTTGTTGGCCGTGCGAGCGGTCGCAAGACAGGTGAGCATGCAGGATGACCTTTGACCCCTCTGTGATACCTGTGTTTGTTACAGCTTTTTTTTTTTTTCTAGGTGAGCAGAATCAATCAGTCCTCAGCTGAGAGGAGGGAAGGCCGTGTCCTTTTAATGGTGGTCTCCATGGTGACAGGCTACCTGTTGTGCTGGATGCCATACGGTGTTGTGGCGATGCTCGCCTCCTTTGGAAAGCCCGGCGTGGTGTCGCCTGCTGCCAGTTTGATCCCGTCCCTGCTGGCAAAGACCAGCACCGTCCTCAACCCTGTTATTTATGTGCTGCTCAACAAGCAGGTACCAACGTTTCCCTTTAAATATGTGACACAAAGCCACCCGCTGTCCTTAAATAAAACAGACGTGCACAACATTTGTTGGGTCTCGCCAGTAAAAAGGATATGTCCTTTAAAATTCAGTTGCATCAAAGCTGGTTTGCTAAACAATGTTGTATTATTTTGCAATTCATCATAATAAAGCCTTAAAGACAAGGAACAGCCACATGTGTCTAATACTCAATCAGACTTTACACGTATCTCTCTGGAGACTCAAATGTCATTTTCCCCCAAAGAATTTCACGAAAGCACTCCGGTAGATCTGTAACCAGACTGTGATGTGTAAAATCTGTAACATGCGCCTTTATGACCACTTGTCCTTCCATATGGTATAACAGTTCAGCTTCTCTCCATACTATCTTTGAAATGCATTTTTTTGTTAACCCCAACCCAAAGCGGTTTCCCTGCCTCTCATCCTTTAAAGTTGCACAAAAAAGCTCTTTATAGCCAGGATGGACAAATGATTATGTGTGCAAGCATCGTTTTGACATGCACTCGTGTAAAAAAATCATTAATAAATGTAGTTTTGTGTTTGTGTCAAACCAGGCTAGAATTAAGTATTTGGCCTCCTTTGCCGGGTTAGCCTTGGCATATATACTCTTTTCGCATTTTGGTAATTTAGCCAATAACGGACATCCTCTGCGATCACATCCCCGCTCATGAAGCTGAGGAAGAAACATTTCCCCTTTTTCTAACATCTGAACGTAACTTCCGATTCTGCAGCATACTGACATTTTCTCCTCTGCTCGTGTGTGTCCATCAGTTCTCCCGGTGTCTCCTGAACACGATCAGGTGCGGCTCAGAAGCTCCTCCCACCCAAGCTCAACACACACTGGCCAGCAGAAGGGGTGTCTGGCGTCCCCCACCAACAGAGGAACAAAACACAGTGCACGTCATGTTCACATCCAGAGACCAGCAGCTACAGCAGCCTGCGCTGGTGCTAGTGGCTCAATACGCAACATAGAGGTCAGAGGTCAACTTAGTTTGATGATCAACAAAGACATTACAATTCAAATTTCCACTTAATTTCACCTATTTTTGAACAAAAATGTAATAAATATACTACAGGAATTATTTTAGTTCTAGAAATGTTTGTTCTTGTGGACCATGCGGCTTTATTGAGTATTCGTAGCCGTTTATCACAGCAGCAGATATGCATGTTGGCCATCAATGTCAGAGTATAACTGGACTGACTAACCCCGGTCCACTGAACTAGTTCTATGGTCTAATAGGCATATCATTATACGTTTTTTTTCTTTCTCACCAAACAGCCGTATCTCACGTTTAAATTTGTCACATTAAAGTCAAACAAGTCTGACTATATGAAACTTGACGTTATTTTTTCAGTTTCAAACTGTATCTCAAAGGGCGAGGAGTCTTAAATATGCAGACAGCAGTATGATTGGATAAGGTAAGTGAGTGAATATTTAGATAATTAGGGAACAAATTACATAGAGACATGTACTCTTTTTATTCATGATCACGAATATACAATGATAAAAAAAACTTTAGATTCCTGAATGATCGACAACAAAATAATTTACTTAAAAAATAAAAATACATCTTTAAAAATATACAGTCATTATGCTTCATGATCGCTGACTGAACTCTCAGTAAGTGAAACACTAGTCCAAAGTCACATTTGTGCTGAATCATACAACTTTACAGACATATAGAAATTCCCTCGGGTACGAGGGGAGACGGAGCAGCAAAGCGCGGCGTAAAATACTGTCGGTTCACCTCGGAGGACGCGTTGGAGAAAACATCTCGAGCAGGTAGTGGACAAACCACTCGATGAGTCTCTACAGTGTGCAGAAACGAACACCGCACTTTGGTCTTACAAACAATCCCTAAATATTGATATTTTTCAAAATGTTTTCCCGTGAAAAGTAATTACTACTGAACAGGAAGTCTGTCTTTAAGGTGCATCGATATCGTGGAGCACCGAAGCCCAAATGTCCTCTTTCGTTCAACTGGGGTGTGGAGTATCTGCTGATTTCAAATTCTGTGGAAGGAAAAGGACAAAATGTTGTAGTACGACTGGAATCATCGAGATTAAGGAAGAAAACAAAGAGGAATTACGTGAACCCTGCATCCTCCGAATGTGCTATGAAAAATCCAGACAGCTCTAAAAATGATTAAACAGGTGCAATACACAAAATTAAGGGCATCAATATGGCAGCAAACATATAGACATATTAGAGCCATGTTTAGTTGCTTCTTCTGTTTGATATAATCCAAGCTTCTCCTTTCGGTTGCCTGGCCGGCCACTCCTCGCGTCATTGTCGGCCACTGAAGGGCTCAACTTCCACCGCTCTCACGCGCCAGTTTTAGCTGACACCGTTTTTCCGGAACGCCTTCGACGGCGCAGAAGCTCCGACCGGGTTAACCCTTAGGTAAGCGCTCTCGGTGCCGTCAGACTGACCGGAGGCCACTAGGGGTGAGTGCGAAGTAGTGCAGTTGTTATTTGAGGTGGTGATTTCTTCAGGGTTTCAGCAGCGACACTAAGAAGAAAGAAGTGAGCTGCTTGTGCTTCGCATGGGAGGTTTTTTTTAGAGGATGTTTTCCAGCACCTCACATATTTGGCATCTCGTTTGTGTTAATATTAAAGTGTCTTTAGATGCCATCCACAGAGCAAATGTGGCTCGTTACATGAGTCTTAATTTTGGAAGGCGAGACCTCTGGGTAACATAATCCTCAAGACAGAATAGTTTTGGGTGCGTGGGCATTTAAACTCTGGGAGAAAATCTGTAGTGCCAAACAATTGTTTAATCAACAATAATCTTTTAAAAAAATGATTTGGTGCAATACTTTTTATGTCATTCATCATGATTAATAGCATTAACAATTTGTAATTCATTTTATGCTAAATATTTTATGATGTTTCTGTAAAAATTGTTAAAAAAAAGAAAGAAAAAACAATGACCCGTGATTCTGTTTCTTCCTCAGATCAGTTTTTTAACCTCACCTGTGAGTAGTTGAACGGAGACAACGCGGGCTCCGGTCTCGTGTAGTCGGGCGGATTGGCGTGCGGGTCGTAGCCCAGGCGAGCCAGCATGGGGGCGATTTCAGCCATGTCGCTGATCACGTCAGAGGGAATGTGACCGACCCACTTGGAGAGGGCGTCCGTGTTCACCGGCTTCATCACCTGGTCCGTGGAGCGCTCCACCCTGCACACACGCACCGCTCATGAGTTCCACCGCCACGAGTTTTATAGGAAACCGATTCTGTTACATGTAATCAGCCACTGGAGAGCGACACATGAAAATACGCTGGGCGTTTTTGATCTTTTAAACAAATCAACCCGTCCACCCTAAAAACACAAAACGACAAAATGCCGCATTTCTGAGGAGGTTTTAAAACCTTTCTATGACTAATATTGCACCAACCGTTGCATAACTAATCAAAATAAGGGTGCCAATTCTCTGAGGACTAATTCCTTCAAAATAAATGTCACGTTTGGATTGTTTTTGCTGCATTTTTGAGTGTTCGAATCTGCCTACACCTGTGATACTAAAATAAAGGTGGGGGGGGAATTCACAAGAGGATTAATTAAGCTGTGCGACACACACAGACAGATGTGTACATGCAACACACAACACGTATGACTTCAACAAACACAAAAAAGAAAAAATCTGAGCAACTTTCTGCGTCATCGGATAGATGACTAAAAAGGACTGCGTGTAGGTGCACACGCACACGCTTCCATTTCACACACTTACTTGGACAGAGACACGCCACCTGCCTTTCCGATCAACTCTTCGTGGTGCAACACCGACGGGTCCCACTGCAGCTCCAGGAAGTGAAGCAACTTCCTCATTTCCTCCTCCGTGTGCAGCACGAGCTGCTCGTAGCGGACGGGCAGACACGTGGACTCCCCGGCGGCCTGACACTGGCTGAACATGGTCTCCACCGCGCTGCTCCACTTGGTCAGACAGTCCCTGTAGCTGGTCAGGTCGAAGCCGGAGATGGTCACCTGTGAGCGGAGGGCGGGGCGGGGAGGTCAACGCGAGGGGCGCATCACGACAGAGGGCACACGCAAGGGCAGAGAGGAGGTCTAAGAGACGGCCAGCGTACCTTGCGGGATATCATGGAGTGGACGGTCGCCCGTCCGTCTCGCAGCATGAGCACAAATTTGGCTTTGGGGAAGATGCGTGACAGGTATGAGAGAGACTTCAAGGCAAACGGGTCCTTGTTGCAAAGGCGAGGGGCCGGCTCCCCGTGGCCGACGATCACCTGAAGCACATGGAGAGAATATTAGGGAATACCTGAGCTAATAGAGATTATACACACTGATGCTAAATATATATGTCATTTACACTGACGGAGAGGAGCACTTTTACACTATTAAAGAGAAAATGGACCTAAAAAAATAAAAAAAAGACAGTGGGACAAATTCCATTTTATGAAGCTAGAATTTGTCATTTTAGGAAACGGGTTCAATTGCTTTCTTTCTGAGATTTGGGCTGGATTTGAATTGTCAAAAAATGACCTAATGTAGACGACATAAAACGACCGGGTTCAAAGTATTACTTCATTAACAAGGGTGCAATGTTAATGAGTTATGCCAACGGTTACTCACATCATCTATTTACGTTTCTCGGTCATGATCATTATTTCTCAAAGAATAAATATTGCCAAGAATTGTGCGATGGAATCATCTCCTTTCCTTTCGTAAAGGAAGGTCCAGTGGTTCCTATGCTGAAGCTAAAGTTTCTTTCCTTAGCAATTAAGAGAATTCAAACAGCTCGGTTAAACTACTTCCGGGTCACTTCACTCAGTTAGAAACCTTCCTAAGAAAATTTGACAATTAAATCCCAGCCGCCTCATAATCTCCTTTTTTAACACTTAGAACGTGTTAATTACAAGGCGTTAGATCAGAACCTGCTATTTGTAGATCCATAACTAATAGACAGACATTAAGGAGAAGCGACTGAGCATATTTTCTAAATATTCCTTCAATAAATCACTTTCAAGAATAGCGGTCATCAGTTTCCATTCAAATTTAAATCTTAAATTCTTCAAATGGCAACCGAGCAAAGATTAGGAGACATTTGGTTTAGAAGTAAAATGTTAACTGGCATACGGATCAGTTGATGGACCTTATTGGAAATTTATATGTAATTAAATTCAGTATTATTTCATGCAAGAATGTCAAACATTTACTGGCTCCAGCTTCTTATATGTGAGTTTTTTTTTGTTGTTCATGTGATGTACGAAAGTAATTAAAAAACATACAATGAACAACTGCCAGGTAAATAAATAATGAAAACCACTTAAACACAAAGCATATTCTGCTCAACATCTGCATCTAAATATTTTCAAAAGCTTTCAATAACCGTCTCCATGATCCACGGGCCGAAAACCAGCTCACCTCCAAGAGGAACGCTCGCACGGCCGAGTCCAACACCTGGTCGGTGACGCCGGCCTCGTCCAGCCGGATCCGCTCCTTCACCGAGCGGCTCCAGGTGGCCCGCATGGCCAGGAGGCGGGGAATCACTCGGGTCTCTTCCCCGCAGCGCACGGCGATGTGGGCATCCAGCATGACGCGCATCAGCGTGGTGCCGCTGCGGGGGAAGCCCCCGATGAAGATGAGGGGCGTGTCTTCGGGCAAATGTTCGTTCAGGGATGAGCTCTGATTGGCCGAGCCCATGTTGAGCTCCATCCACCGGTACCGATGGCTTTTCGGAGGGCAGCCTGTGCCGCTCATGCCCAGGTAGATCAGGGAGGCAGAGCAGAGGAGCATGCAGCCCAGCAGCAGGCTCGACCTGGTGTTCCTCATGGCTCCGTTTCAGGCGCACATGAAGCGGTTTTCAGCGCCCCGCGCCTCCACACACTCCCTCAACCAGATGTGAAGGTCAGAGCTTCAGTTCAAGATTTAGGGACGCACCGACGGCCCGGATGATGGGGACGACTGCGAGAAGAAACAGCTGAGGGAGGCCAGGAGGTTGGAAGCGTCCTAGGAGAAACTCCTCGGACCTCTGCTGGTTCTCAGCCCTGATGTCCCAGAGCAGGCGCCCGGCCCGCTGCGCGCTGCTGCCGGCCGCGTCTCCCGTCCATCGTTCCTGTCTGACACACGAGGACAGCACAGTCAAGACAGGAACTGCAACAGAATCAGTTTGAACTGTTCTCAAATACAGAACGCTTTTGTTTGTAAGAGACAATAGTGTTGAGTGCGAGGAGGTTTCTCTTCCGAGCACGACTTCACAACTTGCTGTGCAACAAAAGAAACCACCGTATTTAAAATGTCCAACAAGTGAGTAACTGCAAGCATAAGCCACGGCCCTACAGATGTGTTATTGTAAGAACGCGGGGTGTGGTGGAGTTGGCGGCTTTGTTATTTTGCCAAGAACACTGGTTCTAACTCCTAGAGGGCTGAAACACATCCAATATCTGTTCTCAGAGCAGCTATGTTGCATCGGATTGTTAAGCCATAGCAGAGTTCACTGTGGCCGTGTGTCTGAAAACACTAATTACAGCTCCCTCATGTTTTTATTCTCTCCGACATTTTCTGCCACAACGAAAGTCAATGCAATTTGTTTGCGATCATTTTACTATTGACCGGGCGAGTCATCCTGCAACTTCCCCGTTTTGCTTCTGCAATCTGCCTACGAGCATATTCAGCAACGCAAGACAGGATCTGATTTCTCGCACGCACACAACAGACTAAAACCATACACGTGAAGGAAAACATTTCAGCTGAATAGCTAAAATGTCTCAAAATACTGATTTTACTGCAGTCTTCAGACTCCTTTTAAAGCAAACTCACGGCAGTTTTCCTTACAGAAGCAAATATGAAATAAGTCTTTTTTCCTCAGAGGGATTCTGGTTTCCGTCTTAAATAAACATGCAAGGAGCCCAACATCTGGATGCCACGTGGGGAGCTCCTCTCTCTCTGCTGGGCTGAAGTAGCTTGACTATAAAAAAAAATAATTTAGGACTGATGATTACAGCAGAAGGGAAAAAACAGCTGGAAATGAGGGCATCTGGGATACTTAGGCGCTGCCTTAAGCCTGGATAAGTCCAGTGGTGTCCACAGGCTTTACGTCTAATTCTAATGCATTTCCATGCAGAGATTAAGCCACTTGGCGTTTTGCAGAGAATTAGGCCAGAGGTTTAAGACAAGCCGTGTTGCTTTTTTTTCCTCTCAGCAGATTTAAAAAAGGACATTTTCCCCAAAATGCAAACTGGAAAGACAAAGAGTGGATAGCTCCTCTGACAAAATCGCGGGATTGACCTTGAAAAGGCCAACGTGTTCACCGATCAAGGACAGGCCAACAAACTCAGTCTACATTAGGCAGAAAACACTGATCCGTCATCACAGTCATTGGCTGGAAGGAATACTGACATTTCAGCCGAAGGTTGCAAGGAGAGCGCCAAAGACGGTTTCTCTTCACAGGAGGAAACAAGAGTCAAACGGAGAGAACATCCCTGACATTTAACCTGAACTCCGTCAAAGAGCCGGAGCATTCTTAGAGCGGTTGCCTTGGAAACCCCAGGTTGAATTTATGACTCTTATTTTTCTTTTCTTTAGGCTGCATTGCAATAACCGTTTCCCCTTTGTGGCAAAATGTGAAATGAATTGCACATCCTAAAAAAAGAAGTATATGTTCAGCACACCTGCTTCGTTATCAAAAATTCTCTCTTTTTTTATCTTAGGGGGATCTATTGGACCAGTAGGTTTTCAAGAAATGTAAAGCCAGTTGGTTCCTCACAGGAAGCAGCGATGACAGACTTCTTTCCGAAGGGAAAGTCTGACATTCACATTGTGTCCTCTGGTTCTCTGGTTAATGCGCTGCTGTCAGGACCACGTCCCTTGTTGGGTCGGTTGCCCTTCGCACGTTTCTCTTCACATATTGCCCCTTTGTATAAGGCCTTCTTATACCAATGTTGCAACGGAGACAGCTCCTTGTCTATGGCTAAAGAAACATTTTTTTAAAAATGAAGAAAAAAAAAAGAAGAACAAATTAAACTGAAACATGAAAAAAAAGAAGAAATCGCAGTTTTTTTTAAAGTGCGTTGCATGAAATGTGCGGTGACCCAGGTGCAAATCAGAGCCATCGCCGCAGACGACTGCGCGCGTGCGTGTGCAGAAATAGGATTATTCCACGGCTGCAAATCGGAAGGCCCGCCAACATCTGGCCGGACTCGACGATGCGTCTTGTCTGCTAAAAAAAAAAAAAGAAAATTAATTGAAAAATGCCCCGTAGGCGGCGAGCCACCAGGTGAATGACCTGCAGTCACACACATCTACCCCACCCCGCCGCGACACGCCAGAACAGCCCCGTCAGTGAAGTGTTGAAACCCATCTCGACTTGGACTCACTTGTCAGCCAACGCTCGTCGTAAATGCATCAGAAAACGTCCCAAAAAACAAAAATGGTGTTCACTCACCGGCGTCTGTGCAAGTGGCGAAATCCGAAGAGGAGAGGAGGTAAAAAAAAACAAAAAACGACAATCTTGATCCGCGTAGCTCTTCCGCGCGCATCGATGTTTTCGACCATTCGGTGAAGCTATCTGTCGCTGTTCGGGACCACACGACGCCTCGCTGCTGGTCCCCGGTGTGACGTTAACTTCGCTCCGTGAGAAGTCGGGCTGCATCCGCCGCTGAGAGGGCGAAGGAGGGGACGAAGAAAACCCCACAGCCAATAGGAACGCAGCCAGGCAGAGAATGCTGGGCACTGATTGGTCCCTGGACGCTGTGACTCCCTCGACGCATCTGCTCGGGAGGATCCTATTGGTGGAGAGCTTAAAGGGCAATTCCGCCGCTGTGACCGGCGCAGGTTTTTTTTTTGTATTCTTCTTCCTCGAGGCTAAAAGGACTTTACTTCATCGATTCGTATGTTCTCAGTAAACGCCCACGGGGGGAGAAACCTAATCACAGTGTGGGATTTAGGTTTGAGGTTAAACCCGACTCGTTTGCTTTGCCCACCGCTTCATTAGTAAACCAGGTTTTAGCGACTGTCTCGGTGTGACAACGATCTTCCTGATGTATAAAGAGCTCTGTGGGGAACCGAACGTGGCGGATCAATGACAGGTGATCCAGAAGGCTGCAGCTCGAGTCCTCACTAGGACCAGGAAAGTGGATCATAATCAGTCCAGTTCTCAGGTCTTTACACTGGCTTTCTGTCAAACAAAGAATTGACTTCACAATCCTGCTGCTAGTTTATAAAGCACTGAATGGTTTAGGGCCAAAGTACATTTCTGATCTGCTGATACCTTGTGAACCGCCACAAACCCTCAGGTGGTCCTGGACGGGTCTACTTTCGGTTCCCAGAGTCAGAACTAAACACGGAGAAGCAGCTTTCAGTTTTCCTGCTCCTCATATCTGGTCGCAGAAAGCTGCAGGTCTGCTGAGTCCCTCAGCTCCTTCTAATCCAGATTAAATACTTTTCTGTTTTGTCTGCTGCCTTCAATTGAACATTTCTGCAAGTCGGAATTCGTTAAGACATTCTTAAATGACATTACATACAATTTTATTCTATTTAAAATCTTTTAATGTCTGTTTTATCCTTTTAATGTCGGTTTTTATTTAATGTTTCAATGTATCAATGTTCTTTACTGTTTAAAAATCTCCTTGCTTTGTGTCTGGATGTTTTTAATGGTTTTATGTGAAGCACTTTGAATTGCCTTGTTGTTGAAATGTGCTTTACAAATAAAATTCCCTGATACAAACTCGTCCCGACAGCAGTGTATCTCTTTATTTATCCTCAGTAAGGTGGGTAGTGGGGACAGGAAACTGAAATAAGGCACTAACAGGAAACTCAAAATAGATACGTTCACAAGTCTAACTAGAACTTCCTTCCTCTGCGTCTTTAAGACATCCCTGCAGAGAACGATAGAGTAGATCCAGAGACTATTGTTGAGGGGTTTGTTGCTTTTCTATCAACACTGTTGCCCTCACAGACCCAGTTGACAGACAATTTGGGGGTGTCATCATCTGGCATAGAAATGGGTTTAATAGTCCTAACTTGGCACTAGTTTATCACAGTCTTGTGTCACCACATGAGAGTCAGGGAATCCTGTCCCCATTGGTCCATCAACATTAGGTGTCCTTATAACCAAGGGGCTTGTCAGTTCAAGTGGGAAAAGTGACGCAGACACATTTCAGCTGTTTATTTAGTTACAGATGGAATATATTGTTTTAAAAATGATTACATCCTTGTTAAGAGATAACAATCAACACATAATGTCTACGGTCTTTTTTCATCACATAACCACTCTAATAACTCTGTCTGGCCCCATGTTAGTACTCTGGAAAAGTTTAATACCCCAACTGGCTTATATTACAGCTTTGGAAATTGTAAAGCAGCTAAAACTCTTAGAAAGTGATGACTAACATTGAGTCAGAAACCAAAAATGTATCAGGTTAATAGCAGAGTGTATCTCCAAAAAAAGAATCTGATGTGAAATATAAATTAGACCAGCAGGGGGCAAAACACGACGTCTGCAAATGACTGCCCAAAAACGTATACAAACACAAAGCTGTATAGTATTTGGTTGTAAACAGGTAAACACTAAACCATTTATTCACCCTAATGTGAATCGTTTAATGAGCCATTTCAAATGATACAGGTTAATGCAACCCGTCCAGTTCTGTCATAGTTTAAGCCTTTACTCCAGCTGTCCACCTCCAGGTGGAGTCTGTGTCATGACTGTTCGATCTGTGCCTCTGCTGGAGCTGCGTTCTCCTGCTCCGGGTCACCAGGTAGGACGGTTGCAACCATCTGGATGAGCTCCTCGATCTGCTCCTCTGATAACCGCTCCTCGCTCTCCTCCACCATCTGAACACAAACAGAAGATGAAGTGTCGGTTTTTACAAATGGTTTCCATCGGTGTCATTTGTGTCAATCCCTCTATCACCTCAAGCTCTATCAGCCAAACATATGTTCTTCAGCAGATTGTCGTCCGTCACGGAATTCTAGATGTTCAAATTTCACAAATGGACGGGATGTCCTTAAAGTGGACATCCACAAACCCAATTTACACATTTCTTCTCTCGAACTGTCTTGCTCTATTTAATAGAAACGGTATTTCTTACAACATAATACTCCCAAATCAAAAATATATAATGGGCCCCTTCCAAGTAGCCTGAATTTTCCCTGCTGATGAAGAACAGGCAATATGACAGAAAGCACCAGAACGGCTACCAAATAAGAGTTTGAGGATAGTTTTGTCAACGGCTGTTTCCAAGATTGAAATAAACTTTGAACCAAAAAGTATCTGCAAGACGATATCGAACATGTTGCTATTCTTTTGATATTTACTCCCAAACACAATAATGGCATGGTTTTATAAATCCAAGCGTAGGGAAATTCATATGACAGGAAGAGGTGACTAAAAATGAAAAATCTCCGGACCATTGTACTTTTGCATGTGTACTCTCACAGTCTATTGATGTTTCTTGTGATGGGCTGGATGTCTGACAACCCTTCCTTATGGCCCGGTTGTACGAGCAGCACTTCACGGCTTCTACTTTGAGTTGCTTCTCCAAAGCACCAGTGACACAGATTCATCTTATTTGAAATGTTCCACTGAGGAATCTTTTTGTCAGGGATTTCCCTTCTAGAATGGGATCAATGGTGTCATGTACAACACAGAGTTTCAGAATAGTGAGACACATATCGACGGTGAAAAATAAAGCACAGCCTTTGAGTTGTTGTCAAAATTGATCTATTAACCGTGTCTGACGCTTTTAACAGTGATCCTATTCATCATTTTGTGGGCCAAGACTTTTCTAAACTGGGTTACCGTTTAAAGCAATAAATATTGAGAAATTGGTATTGTGGTATTTAGCAAATGTTATTCAAAGAAAATTAAAGAGGCCAAATGTTGGGGACAATATCCTAATAATCATAGTAATAAAACAACACCTCAACCAGAGCGAAGGTGATGTGTTATTGACATAGACTGTACTTGTTAGTTGGATGAGTTCATTGTAGAATTTGTACTTTCAATGGGATGTGTTGACAATAACAAAACAAGAAGAACATCAACATAATTATACTTTAAGCAACTCTTAGCATATGACACACTGGCTCATTTGAGTATGGAAAAGAGATAAATATGAATAAGAGATAAAGAGAGGCATGTAAATGTGTATTAACAGTAATGAGAAGGTTAAACACTCACTAGCTGAATTTCCACTGCTGTCTGTGGCCGATGGTTCAAAAGCTGCAGTTTTTCTGCCCTGACGGAGGAAAAATAAAAAATCAGGAAATGTGTGATGTACGGAACAGTAAATACATTATGACATACGGTGTATTTACTTATCCTAAAAAAAAACCTATGCATTTAAGGCATCTATGAAATCAAAAAGTAAACATCAATGAAAACATAAATGCATTTGTCCGACCCCACTGACTTTGTGAGTTTGTGAGGCATCATGGCGGTGAGGAACTCTTTGACAATCTCTGGTGTCTGCCTGCTGCTGGGCGTCTTCGACAGGTACTTCAGTGTCTGCGTGGAGATGCAAAAGGAACTGTGGTTACGCTGTTGCAAGCGTTTTAATGGGACACAGCGTTTCAGCGGAGACAGAACGAGGACGTGTGCTTGTACCTCATACATGATGGTGTTGAGGTTCTGCTGCCCGGCGCTGTGTTTGTTTTTCCCGCTGTCCTTCCTCTGTTCTTTCAGGTCGGTCAGGAGTTTGAACACCTGAAAAACACACACAGACAAATCTAAAGCGGCACGTAAACAATTGCATCTCTTGGCTGGACCGTACAAAAAGATTTAATGTTAAACAATGAGACACACATTACCTCATAGTTACTGAGCATAGCAGCATTTGCGTTTTTCCTGAAAAGAAGATGTCATGATTAAGCAAATGTTCATTCTTGACTATTGCAAACTGTATATGTCACCAAAAAAGATCAAACGGTCGGTTTATCTTTATGGAGCCTTAAAATGGATCTCACTGTCACCTTCAGTTACTGAATAAAAACTATGACATTTGACTCCCAGCTCGGGAAAAGGGATGATTGAGTTTAGATTATATTGGTTAAATAACCATTACAGAAGTGTTTAAAGATTGGGCTAAAATCCACAAGAAATCGGGATTTAGACCAAGATTAAAAGTGCAAAAGACAGATGGCGACAAGCCAATGCCCTGTTTTGAACTATTTAAATTCAAATGTTGAATCTATTTTATCCAGATAAAAGAAAAACTGTATTTCCACACATGTTTAAAAAACGGAAGCGAAATTACTGAAATTCCTTACTGAATTAACATTAAATTGCAGACTAATATTAGGCTTCACTGAGAGAGTAGATCGTTAATGAGTTAAAAAATAATAATACTACAATAACGTTTGTTTCCCTCATTGAAATCATAGAGACTTGAAAAGTGTCTTGTGGCACCAACGTTAACGTTACGTTGTTCCGCAACTCGACAAATAAATCAACCTGAAATAGCTACAAAAACGTAGTAACGTTACCTGTAATCACAATACAACGTATATAGAACAGTAAAACATAGTACAATATTAAATGTTTAAAAATTAAAACAATTCTTACACTTCCATTTCGACAGACACTATGCTCTGGTGCGTCGCTAAAGTGCCCGGGTAGAAAATGTGACAGGGATCAAACGTTCCACCCTGGCTTCAGTGTGCAATATGTTTGAATTGACTGTTAACATGTTGTTAACATCTATAGTGTGCAGGCTTGTTGTATTGTCTATCGTTGTTCATTAAAACTAACAATATTTTGATTAAACAACATGAGGAGACCTTCATAGAGACTCTGAACCGGCAGCAAGATGTCAATGAATGATTACAATTGTAAAAAAAATAATATATATATATATTTTCCAAATATTAATTATTGAATACTTCTCTGTAAGATCTTGGTCAGCTGCCTGCTTATATGCTTGAAAATGTATTAATTTCATTGTTTGACAATGTCAGAGTTTACCTATCAACTGTATCGACATTGAACTGGAGCATCAAGGATCACTGTATCATAGTCTTAACATACTATGAGGTTAACGACTGTTGTAGAGGCACAGATGAGGTTCAGGTGCATTCAGAATTCACCTGATAATTTATAGGGATGTTTGTGCATTTCACTGGACGAGGACTACCACACTGGTTATCGTCTTGTTGATGTTTGAGGAACAAGACGATAAACATTAGGTATTTATGTGGAATGTAGCCCTTACGGATTAATTTGCTTTATCAAACCTTCTCTGTACTTTATGAGAACTTTATAAAGCCGATGTAATATAACAGCCCTGAATTAAACGTTTACCTCAGTAACGTTTTATGTGATATATGTATTATTATATAAGTATTTATATATTCCGGGTATATATATATATAAAACTTTACTCTGTTACTCATATATATATATATATATACACACACACCACTTTTTTATTTTAAATTAAAACAAAAGGTTGATAGTAAAAATACTTATCAAGAACTAACTAAATTCGTTAGCATTAGCAAGACCAATTGTGGAAATTACCTTCTGCGTTCTCTAGTACCCGTAAGTCTAGACTCCAGAGTCCATTCTGCCAAGAACACAAGTCTGTTCTCGCAGTCTTAGGTATTGACAAAGTGCTCTTATGTTTGGTGCTTGTCACAGCAAAAAAAGTCAGGAATAGGCTCTTGGAGTAAAAGAGACAGAATGGGTCTAATACCATTTAAAATTAAACTAAATTCTCTAAATTCTCTCTCCCAAAAACTCTGGTGTACAAAACCAAATAAAGTAACACTGTAATCCAGGTTGTGATATTTATCTCTCAGCATATATCAAGTCCTTATAATTTCTTTTTCTCTTCACCAACTCAAAACCTGATATGATCAGCTAGTTGTCAAAATGTGTCCTTTAACTATCAATGATAAATAAAACACAATCAATATCCAAATATGAAGGTAATCACTTTATTGTATATACATATATATATATATATATATATATATAAAGGAATCATGAGTTTAAAATTTTTTTTTTTCAAAAACATTGTCAATAAGAATATTGTCCAAAACATTTAATCATCCACAGTTTACAGTTAGTCACCATACTGTATCGTTGGCATTTCTCTACTGCAACTTAATGCTACGTGGGATGACGTATAAACCAACAAATAACATATCTGTTATAAGATAATATTGGGCGACATTGAGACATTACAACCAGGTTTTTCCAAATCTAACAGGCCAATGGTGAACAAGCACAAATGATTTATTCACAAATATATTTCAGAAGAGAACACTCATTTAAACAGGCATTTTGAGAGAAACATGTTACTAAAAAATAATTATGTTGAATGATTATGTCAGTGATAACAGACATTAAAGCCTCTGTTGCTCACTGCTGAAGATTTTTGTCAGCAGTATCTGCTCAATCCTCATCCATTGGGACCGAAGCCTCTTCCTGAGAGAATAATTCAGAGAACTTATACGAATTCTCGTTCTTCTCAACCAGCTGCTTCAAAGATGCCATCATCTCTGGCTGATGTTGTTCATGACAGCAAGCCAGGAATTGTTTTAACACATCAGCTTTTCCTTTTTCCACCATTTGGACAATGAAGTGATCAATAACCGTGGACAGAGGACAGCCGTACTCTATGACACTGTGCATTTCTTTCTTTGCATTGCGGTACGCATATCCGCCTGTATGCATTGCAACAACGTTGCAGTCCGTATCAAAGACAGGAGAGCCAGAGGAGCCAAAACCAAAACAAGTATCGTAATGCAGAGCCTGTCTGAACTCGTTATCCTTTTTCACATCGTTAAAGAAGCGCTGCGTAATTAACTGAATGTTCTCTGCGGATTCATAGTAGTGAGGATTGGTCGGCAAAACGCCGTGTGGATTTTTACGTTGATGCCTCTCGGCAGCCTGTTGGCGGTTTTCATTTGGGATAATGAAGCATGGATCCATCTTTTTCACCCCTTCACCAGGATGCCCAATAATGCAAATTCCACCGTGTTGGGGAAGCCGTCCCAAATGTGTTAACAGACCGTCAGGCAACTTATGATCAGTAACAATCCTCATCAAAGCCCAGTCACACTTCTGCCCTGACTCATCGCAGCCATTTTCAAATCCAACAACCTCAATCACCGCTGCTCCTGAATCCGCCTGACCAAGACTTTCAAAGGAGAAATGGACAGTGACGCCCGGAGAAATGAGCTGTGTTTTCCCGTCATAAAATGTTTTAGCTACATGGCCATTTGTGAGCACAAACTTGTCAAATAGGAGGAAGCCACTTCCCTTTGATCTGTCGTTTATTCTCACTTGGCAAACAGAATCACTGAGCTGCATCAGTGTCTTCATTGTTCTCACTTCCCTGCATGTTTCATCGTTCTTTGAGTACTCCACACGCAGCAGATCACGGGCACGAGAAAGATTAGGAACTCGCTGACTATTCATTCCCTTCAGCACCTTTTTAAACTCTGTGAATAAGTCAATCAGCATCCGTTCTGAATGGATTATTTTATGGAACGTATCCGGTTCTTTTTTACCATCTAGCCCTGCTGTATTTTCTGGTGTGTTGACATTCACTGACTGAGTTGTGGCAGACGGCTGTGGAGGACCTGGGTTCCCTTCAGAGTCAGACCTCTGAGGGTCACTCATCGTGGGGGTTTCCTCCAAGCTGCCAGGCTGACTTAATGGTGGACTGGACAAATTGAGCAGTACGATCTTGTAAATTTCCCCATCATGATCATGAACGAGGTCAGACATTTCAGTGGTTTCTTCAGTGTTTGTGTTGAGGAGTGCACAGTTCCTTTTGAATACAACATCCAGTAGACGTCCATCTCTTTTCAGAGCATACTTCACTTTTTCCCCTTTGTATGCATAAACAGTTATTGTATCAATGTCCTTTTTTTCTAGTTCTGGGTTTCTCATGATTCTGTTTACCTTTGCACCTCCCTTTGTCAGCAAATCAAACATCACCAGATCACTAGATGGCCTCTTTTTTTGGCGATGATCAGAACCACTAGGGCCTGCGTTTGCAGCTTTAAAGTACTTTATAGTCAGCAGTTCATCTTTAATTAAGCTGCATGGAAAGTGTGAACTGATAGCCTTCCCATGTCTTGTAATAACAAGCTCTTTCTTGTTATTTTTTTTTGCAATTTCCCTGAACTGTGAACTTTCCTTCAGTGCGCTCTCGACACTTCTTGCTTTATTGCAGGTAACATTTTTGGTTTTTCCATTCCATTGCCACTTTAAAGAATGGGTTTTATGTTGCGCCGCATCCTAGGAATGAATCACAATTAAATCTCATTTAATTAAATTAAAGAATAAAAGGTTTAATAGCAACACTCTTAACGCATTCATCTATTAGCAATACCTGTTCACGCACAGGGTGGTGAGGGACTGGAGCCGATGCCTCCTGACTCCACTCTGAGGTCTCCTGTTTAACACAGGGCTGACAAACAGAGACACACAAACAGACAAACATTGTCACACCATGTCTAAAACAAGCCTTTATCAGTCTTTATCGTGTGTTATTAAAAACTGTAATACATTTCACAAAATCAAGAGGATTTATTGCAATCATAGATATGGTAGACAGGAAAAGTAAGCCTGTATTTTATCCAACACAGAATAATTAAATATGACAAACCTCTGCAACAGTTTCTGAATCAGGAGGTGGCCGGCTTTCTTCATTCTGACAATCGGTTTCTTCCTTTCTTTCTTCCTTTAATAAGATATACAGAGCAAGATGTAATTTTCAACACGATATATATATATATATATATTTTGCAGAATTACCGTGACAACTTCATTCACGTCTCCATTATTTGTGGTCTTCAAGAGTTGATCTTGGTTAGGGTCCATTTTTTATTGAGTTTTAATAACCCAGAAAAGAAGGTGATGTAGTAGGGTACCTTCAGGAAAAGTTTAAGACAATTGTGAATTTATAATATCATAGACCGAGTACAATCATCATGGAATAGTCATCAACTTGATATGTATTGTAATTCACTAGAAACACAGCAATAGAAGATGGCTATGCATGGTTGGGTGCAACATATGAAATACACAACTGTACTGTTTTCAATTAAAAATCATTGGTGTAACCTTTTATGGATTTGCTTTTAGAATGTTCTCAAAAACGTTACAGTAAAATAACATTAAAATAGGCAGGGGCATAGAGGAGGTCCTCGTGAACAACGGTAGAAGATATAATGTAAACTTTTACGAATCTGCTTTGAAAACAGTTTAAACATTGGGAAATGATGATTAGTGACTTTTGGGCCGTACGAGCCCCCCCCGCCCGTAAGGCCCTGAATAGAGGTTTCATTTTGAAATGTCGACCACATGACCTCAAGGCTCTGGCACGGTTCTGCAACTGCGGCTTGCGTCGCGCAGTTGTGTCGATGGACTCGTTTTAAGTCATTGAATTGAATTGAATCTAAAAGGGTTGCGCGTGTTGCAAAGCAAGTCACCGCCAGAATTAGGCTGCTTTCTGCGGCGTGAGATGAGGCTGATCGCCGGTGCTGGAGGAGTCAGACGGTCCCGTTAACTAGACCTCACATCTCCCACATCTTCGGAGCAAATTGCTTCCGTATGCTAGTGAGAGTTCTTTCATACACACTAGTGAGACGCTCTGACATGCACTAGTGAGACGCGCACGAGTTTCATTAGTACGCGCGAGAGTGTCTCACGACATCACCTTTTCTCCTCGTCTCACTCCGAATCTCAGAAACGCCGACCGACGAGCACAGAGTCCGTTACTGTGCATTTCAATTTTGTAGGTATAATAACAGTCTAGTACAACGCTCTCATTAAATCATGTTTTTTTTTAAAAGGTGTAGTCACACGAGAATATTTGGCTAATATATACCGTTAACAGAATGTTTAGCTTTGATTTAACTAAAACGATTATAAGAAATCAGAATAAGTTTACAACATTTATTGATTTGAAACTTACCGAAAGGGAGGGTCCGCTTGGATTTTCCCAACTGAAAAGCCGCGCCGAAAGAGGGATATAAGTATGTATATATTGCACATGCGCAATACTGTTGAGCTGTGATTGTGAAACAAAAAGAGAAAGGGGGGTTTCCATTTTAGTTCTTTTTTTCTCAGTCGTCCTCCAACTTGTTTACTTCACCTAGGGTGACCAGACGTCCTCTTTTCCCCGGACATGTCCTCTTTTTGAGACCTAAAAAATGCGTCCGGCAGGGATTCCAAAAACGTCCGGGATTTTGGTACGATACTTCAGCATTTCCAATGGCGACACTGAGCACCTTGCCGCCTCCACCAGTTGCTTTGTTTACAGCACAGGACATCTGCAGCCATGCCGAAACGTAAATGTAAATTTACGGACGAAGTAAAAAAAAAAAACATGTTTTCGCCTCGGCCGTGAAGCTTTGGAAGTAGAGCAGGCACTTACGTGTCAGTGCCAAATAAAGGTGGCACCGATTTGGAAGCTCACGTTCTCTCTGCAAAACTGCAGCAAGAGGAGAGAGCTCATAAGTGACAGACTTTTTTTGTGAGTAAAATGTTGGGGGAAAATTGTTGAGCCTGCGTGGGGTGAGGCTCTCAGGAATGTGACCCTTCCCAGTGAGCATTTTTTGGTTGAAAAGACGTTTAAAAGACGTCTATGCCCGACGTTGAAAAGACGTTGCAAAATGGTTTAAAAGTGAAAGTTGTTTCAACGTCTATTCGTAGACGTTGAAAAGACGTCTATGTTTAGACCACATTTCAACGTGATTTTTTAATACGGTAATATTTCGTCTTCTCTTGTATGCTATATCATTATTTTAGAGGTTTAAAAAGAAACTACGTCCACATTTGTAAGTTTACCACCGATATTATAAATCACGTTGAAAACGGGTCTATACGCGAACATCTTTTCAACGTCTACGAATAGACGTTGAAACAACTTTCACTTTTGAACCAATTTGCAACCTCTTTTCAACGTCGGGCCATAGACGTCTTTTAAACGTTGTTTCAACGGATAAATTGCTCGCTGGAAACGTACAAGTTACATACTTAGTCACAGTTGTCATGTTAACATCCCTTAACAAGGACAAAGACATTATTTTATTGATTTGTATTTATTATAAATATAACACTATACATATAACAGCACTTTTGCTAATTAAAAACAATACAGAAATAAAATATATTTTTCAGGAAAATAAATTATGGAATTAAAAGTGCAGAAAACTTGTGTATTTCACCAACATTTCTGTGTTTGTAGACCATTTTTCTGAATCATTGGAACTTCATTATAGATTCTGTAACAAGATGTGCCTCACTTGAGTTGGGATAGTATACCTGAAATCAGCTGCATCTCCCTCATCCTCACTTGAGGATTCTTTGTGTAAAGGGAGTCAGAGTGCAGAGAAAACCCCTCAATTGCAGATTCCTCTGGTCAACGTGTTTATTCAATTCAAATCATTTTATTTTGTTCAGCTTTGCAATCTGTAAACATGCAACACCCTGTCCCCTAAACCCCAAAATGTAAAAAACCTTCAACCTGGAGAAACCTGAGGGGAAAACAGTAGGGAAGAAGGTGTGAACAACTTAAAAGATGTACAGTACATCCGATTCCTACAACATAAATGATTCTAATATTGTGGATTATTAAGCCAGGGGTAAGGCAGGACCAGTGCAGGGACAACCATCATCAGACGTAACCTCCATCAGATGCAACCACCACCCGCAGAAACCTGTGAGGAGGGAAAGCACAAAGGCAAAGTTGGTCATTTGGGTTTATGATGACAGTAATAAACTAATAATAGTAACAGCAGTAGGTGCGTTAGAACACTCATTTATAGATGGTTTACTTATTACATTATAAACAAGATAACAATTCATCTGCAACTTATGGTATTTCTGGAGTAACATGTCCAGGTATATTACACAGTATCATGCTTTAAGCAGCAGTAACTTACAATGTTTCGGCCTCTTGTTTACAGAGCACAACTTGTTGAATTCAGCCCTTCACCCTTGCAATGCAACTTAGCCACCATTGCTTTAAAAACGTATTTTTTTCAATGTGAAATGCAATAATATTTATGGGTACAGCAACAATCTAACGCATTAGCAACACCAAACACGCACAAAAATGTCTGGAATGTTTACTTTTGGTCCAGGTCATCATGCTGCACGCTAGCATGCTCCAAGCTAGCATGCTAACTAGCAAACTACCTGCGCTAACGCTAACTAGCTTAACAAAAAGGGCCGTCTTTCCTGTATCGAGTCGGCAGCACAAGTAAAACACCCGGTTATAGTTCCAGGTGTGCTTCATTCAAACACTCGCGTACTTACAGAGTAGTGGAGCCGGTAGTCGTGGTTCTATCAGCCCGTTCATGTCGCTCTGCTGCCGTAACTTCGCTTCGTGCTGCGTCCGCTCGGAGCTCTGCAGGCGTCTAAGAACTCGCGCATGCGCGTTACAGATGTGAGCGGAGTTACGTGTTTACAAGTAATGTTTGAACCTGCCCGCATTATTATGTCTTAAACGCATCTTATTGACAGCACGCAGTCCGTAGTTTCATATTTATGACGTTTTAAGCGAAATAGTAAATACGTTGAAATTACGTCTTCGCGTAGACCAAATTTCGCCGACCAGTTCATTAATTATTCTGAAAATCTTAACGTTAATATCGTCTCTCTTTCAACCTTACGTTACAACATGACACATTTATCAACAAATTAACGTTTTCTGGCACGTTGATGTTTCATCCCATTTTTAGACGGTTGAAAAGACGTTGAAATGAGGTCTTAGACGTTCAGACCTCATTTCAACCCGATTTCAACCATATTTCAACGTTGAAATTACGTCTTGTGCTCACTGGGTTGATGTGAGCCGGTGACTTAAGGCAGTCCAGGGTGAGATAAGACACAGATGAAAACATGCGTGCCCTGACTGACCTTTTAGATGTTGTTGATTGTCTGGGTCCATAAAGGGAGGGTCACAGGGTCACCCCTACATCATCTGCTACTTTTCCCACATTCCTCTTGAGGGGTGGGCTGTCCTGAGGCAGCACAAACCCCCCTAAGTGTATAAAACCTCCTGTTCTCCTCTTTGACTTTGTCAGATCTTCCTGCTCCTTTTGGAGGAAGGAACCTCTGTCCCTTTTCAGCTGAATTGTAGTCATTTGACTTCTGTCTGTTGTAAGAATACGTGTTCAAGATTTGGTTGTCTGCTCACCTGATTCTGTTTGCGCGCCTGTTGTCAATGCTGAACCACGCCGCTGGTCCTTTCGGCTCGGTCCGGAAAACGGACGTCCCCGTCTTTCTTTGTCCAGGTCAGCAAATCACGTCGGGGTCACCAAATTGTAAGAATACGTGTTCAAGATTTGGAGCCTGGTCGGGGTTATCAAAAATTCAGCCGAATAACTTCTCTCGTTCTGGAAAATTTATTTGTCAGATCACAGGTCAAGTATCAGCGCTGCGTTTGCAAAGGCAGGAGCAGTTCAGGCAGCACACAGGCCGGAAGAACAACTAACTAACATCAGCAAGAACATCATGTTTTATAACCCTTGAAAGACAGAGAAGGAAATATTTCTATTGGCCCTAAACTGGCGTAGAGGAGGACCTTCCACCTCCCGCATCTAAGATCCGGTCACATCCAATGTCCAGACTCCTGACTTAACGTAAACATCGTAAACAGAGTGTGTATGTTGAATAGTGTTGGTGTGTCTCTAACCCCCCTTTGGCTGGTAAATCTTCTAGTTGACCCGCAGACCTTACATTCCTCAGCCAGGACAGAAACTGACTCCCCATCCTGTCGGACTCGTGTCTGCCTGCTTGGCAGATCCTGCTTACCCCCTTACCTAACTCTTAAATCAAGACAAGACAGCAAACCCCCAACTAAGCCCATGAAAATAACTTTTGATTATCACTGTGCTTACGACTTGTGCTGATGATTTCTATATTCTTTATCTTTTGCCTTTACTCTAGTCAGTAATAAATACTTAATCACAAAGCAAGCTCAAGATACTTTTGATTTCTCACATGGGCTAAATCCACAAATTTCCACCACAAACTTGGCGACGAGGATGGGATGGACGCGTGATCTGGACTCTGACGGACGGACAGAAGGCCATATAGTATAGGTGATTCCTCCCTGAGGGTGAGAAGCTGCCGTCCCGACGAGACCCGGATTGCCGATCCATCCAGTTCAAGAAAAGAAACGAACAACACGCGGTGAGAAATCAAAATTATTTTTAAGGCAGACAGAGTCATTGACAAAAGGGTTTTAGGCCTATCTCACAACGAGTGTGTTGTAGACAGACGTGTCTGGGTCACCTGTGGTATTCGTCACAAGGTTGCAACATCCTGTGTCTGAAGTTCACAGGCGCAACTTTGGATCAATGCAGTAGACTGAGTGACCAGAGAAAGCAACGGTCAACTGACTTGCCTTAGTTATGCATGTGGTATTTCTCCGTTTGTGCGCACCTTTATAGGCGCGTACACTCCGGGTATACAGATACAGATAACTAAATGGGTAGTGTTCAGAGTAAAGGGGAGACGGGTGATAACCATGAGACTAACATCCTGCCACTATTGTGTAAATTTATGTCAGAGCGTTATCCTGGCAGTTTGAATCAAATACAAAAATGGGTTGAATTGGGGTTTCCTTCAAAGGGGAGTTTGAGTAAGAATCAATTGGAGCAGTTGGAATTGCAACTGAGGGGGAAGGAGAAGAACGATGCAGCTCAGCATGCAGGCCTGTCGAGAAGAAAGCAGAAAAAGAATGTGGTATGTAAGGCAGATTGGGAAGCTTTCAAGATGTGGAAGTATGAGTCGGAGAGAAGGGAGAGACAGAGGTTGGTAGCATTTAATTCATTAAAGACCAAAGATCCTACAAAAAGTTCTGAAATGTGTACCCCTTCTAACCCAAAAACACTTTATCCTTGTTTTTATGAGTTCCCGAGGAGATTGGTGGACACGGATCTGGACTCCCCCCCTCCCCTCACTGCTCCTCCAGCTCCCGCCTTCATGAGCCCGCAGTCTCCACGGCAGGAAGCAGCACAAGCAACCTTTCCTCGGCTTGACAACACCCCACCAGGAGGGAAGCCAGATTCAACCTCAAACACCAGCCAGACGACCTTTTCACCTACTGTGACCCGCTCGCAGGCTCAACAAAGGTGGGCCTTGCTCGTTGTTCGATCCTGCAGCTTCTTTTCCAGTCGAGGGGGTGCAAGGGCCGATGCTGGTTCTCAGACCCTGGTCAGATGCCGATGTGACGAAGGCAATGAGCCACGTCTGCAGTCCCAAGGACAATATTGCTAAGTTGGAGACTGATTTTCAGCAATTTGTCAGAAAATACCATCCTAACATGTCAGAGCTGCGGCGTCTGATGTGCAGACTTCTGACACATGACTATCACAAGGTTCAGAGTGTGTTCAACACCACAAGAATGGCTGCTCGCCTTAAAGATCCTGATTGTGAGCACGGCACAGATGTGGACATTAGAAGTGCTGTAGATGCTCTCATTGTGTTGGTAAAAGAACAATTTC